TTTTTCCTGCTCTCTATTCAAACTTGGATTCTGCGGTGGTCGCAGGCATCGTGGGAAGTAATTTACGAGAGACAGGCTCTCAGGAGCCATCGGTTACGTATGAGGAGACCTGCACAGGCGCCGCAATCTGGAGCCACTGAAGAGCGCTAAACACCCCGCCGTGGCCTGAGCTGCGTCCCTCCGTGGGGGTGGGGGTGGGGGGAAGCGGTGCTCAGTTCTTGTACCAGAAAAAGCTGTTCAGAAATATCTGGGCCCAAAAGGAACATGGGAACATCGCTAGATGCGCAGATCTGCTTCGTTATTAAAATCTCCCTTTAATATATTTTGAGGCCCAAATTGGAGCTCAGTGAATTAAGTAGGCATGAAACTGCATGGGGCCTAGGAATGTATGGATGTGTTAGGGGAGGTCAGCAGGGGTCCTGCTGACAGTGCCCGTTGGTTACCGTTTCGGAGCCTGGATACGTGGCTCCCGCCTCTCATCAAATGAGAAGTCTGAACAATCCATCAGTTATTGTCAGGGACAAAATCTCTCAGACCAAGGAAGGCCTACATGGATTTCCATGTAGGCCTCTTCACTGGATGGTTTTCTATTTCCAAGTAAGACGCTTTTGTGCTTTTGAGTGTCTTTGTGGAGAGTTCTTGGGCAGGACAGGCTACCTATTAATTTTCTCTCTCACTTCACCAATAGTTTATTGAACTCCTAGTATGTACCCAGCATTGAGCCCAAAAGTTTACTTTAGGGACGCCTGGGTGGCTCAGTCGTTGGGCGTCTGCCTTTGGTTCAGGTCATGGTCCCAGGGTCCTGGGATCCAGCCCTGCATCGGGCTCCCTGCTCAGCAGGAAGCCTGCTTCTCCCTCTCCCACTCCCCCTGCTTGTGTTCCTTCTCTCGCTGTCTCTCTCTCTCAAATAAATAAATAAAATAAAATAAAAAGTTTACTTTATTGTTAGTGGAAAAGCAAGGAATATGATAATAGTTACCATTCCCTAGATGCCAGGCACTTCTTTACATGAATTCTCTAATGCAAGCATCATAACCCCTGTGAACAGAAGTTATCCCAATTTTTACAGATGAGAAAACAGAAGATTAGCAGGATTAAGTGACTTTGCTCAGGATCACATAAGTGACTCATCTGTTACTGACCTGCTTCCGTACGAATAGGACAGGTGATGGGTATTTGGTTATCTCTGGGGTGTATCTTTCTTGCCCAGCCAATCATCCTCTCTGGAAATTTTATTTTAAAAAGGACAAATAGGGGCACCTGGGTGGTTCAGTTGGTTAAGCATCAGACTCTTGGTTTCTCAGAGTTGTGAGATTGAGCACCGTGCTGGGCTCTGCACCTGGCATAGAGCCTGCTTAGAATTCTCTCTTCCTCTGCCCCCCTCCCGCCACCCCCACTCCGGGGGATGTCAAAAACAAAATAAAATAAAATATAAATATTTTTCTCTCTCTCCCCAAAATAAAATAAAATAAAATAAAATATAAAAAGGACAAATAGCTCTCTTTCTGCGGTCATTCTTGGGTCCAAAGACCCTAGGCCCTAACAGATTCTCGGGCCTAAGAGGCCTGAGGATTCTAGGATTCAAGGTTGGATCATATATATATATTTTTAAAGATTTTATTTATTTATTTGAGAGAGAGAGAATGAGAGATAGAGAGCACGAGAGGGAAGAGGGTCAGAGGGAGAAGCAGACTCCCTGCTGAGCAGGGAGCCCGACGTGGGACTTGATCCCGAGACTCCAGGATCATGACCCGAGCCGAAGGCAGTCGCTCAACCAACTGAGCCACCCAGGCGCCCCAAGGTTGGATCATATTTGGGCAACCATTCAGAAACATCAGGGAGTGGCAGGAGCCCAGGAATAAAGCCCAGATCCAGACCCAACCTGGCTTCCCCATCCAGGGGCCCCTTCCTGTTCTTAACCTGCTCCTCCCCCACCAATATTTCTTTTATCATACAAAGAGAGAGGGGGAAACCAGAGGCATTTATGAGGGCCCAAAACAAAAGAGCTTATAATTGAAATTTTTAAATTTGTTTAATCTGAATAAATAATTAAAGCGGAACATTTTTTTGTGTGGAATTTCTTTAGCAGTTTTGCGGTGACAGCCTCATCATGTTTAGAACAGGAATGCTCGAGGTGGAAGGAATCTTAGAGGTTATCCAACACAGCTCCCTCATTTTACAGGTAAGGAAACTGGTCCAGGTAAGTTGAGCCACACTAGGTTGCATCTTGCCTTGCATTTTGTTTCTTTTCTTTCTTTCTTTCTTTCTTTTTTTTTTTTTTTTTAAAGATTTTACTTATCTATTTGAGAGAAAGAGTGCACAAAGCAGGGAGAGGGAAAAGCAGACTTCCCACCAAGCATGGAGCCCAATGTGGGGCTCAATTGCAGGACCCTGAGATCATGACCTTGAGCCTAAGGCAGACGCTTAACCGACTGATCCACCCAGACACCCCTTGCCTTGCATTTCTTGGTGGAAATAGACTTCTCCAGTTCCTAACCCAGTGTGCTTTTCTTGTCTGACAAATGTTTGACTGGCCAGAGAGAAAAGTAAAATGGAGATTTCCGGATACCATTTTTCTGGACTAACCTCCACTTGGGTCAGTTCTTTTCCTTCACATGTGAGAGGCAGGTTGTAGAGTATAACCGACTCCAACAAAGGAAGCCAGCTGGGGCTAAAGTGGAATGCATTTAGGATTCATGTGAGAGAAAATTCCAGAGATTGGGAGTTGCTGAACGTCTGAATAGACAAACAGCTAATGGTAGAGGGATCTCCTTTTTCTATCTGTCTGAATTGTTTCATTTGTGCTTCCTCGAGGCAAGGGAATGGATTGGGTGGCCTTTTTAAAGTTCCTTCCTGTCCAAGGACCGTTATTGAGTTAGGTGGTATAATAAAGGTAAATCCAATCCGAAATGCTCCCCAAGCCAACGTTAACTGGAATGAAGCTTTATGAGGGAAACTCCAGTTGAGCTTCCAGCTTCTCATTTCCTCCTCTGACATGCAGGGATTAACAGCGTGCAGAAAGAAGGGAGGCAGCTGCTGTAGCTTTTGGGGGGAAGAAATGCGCTACTACACCCGCAAAGGATAAAAATAGACTTAAGACTGTCCAAAAGATGGAGAAAGAAACCAGACAGAACCAGAGCAGCAAGGTATTCTCCCTGAATCAAACTTTGATATATTAGCTTTCTGTACGGGAGGGGAGGGAGGGGGATTGGTTAAAAAAGACAGAGGAGGCTCTCCATGTTCTTTGGTATCTTTTAAAAATATGACAGCCATGGTACCCACAGATAGCTCTGTACTTCAGGGCAAGTCACCACACAGTTCCTTCTAAATGGAGGAAAGGGACCCCCAGTGAGAAGCCGTTAACAAAGGCAAAAGATATGCAAAACAAACAAAATAATCATGACCGAGAGAGAAGGCCAGCAGACAGTCTGGCTCTGTTCTCTGCCCCCCCCTCCTGCTGCAGGCACCTCAGACAATGTAAACAGTTAATTTGTTCACCTGCAGGCTCTGGGCAAACAGAGGCCTGGTCACACCTGAGTGGATAACTCGATTACCCCTGTAATGCCAGTGTGGTAATGTACACAAATTCTATTACAAGGCAAACCTTGCTTTCGGGCATTTGAAATACCAATCAGGCCAATGTCCACTCCCTTCTTTACTTCCAATTTATTCTTGGTGTATGGGAGCTGCACCAGAATGGCACTAGGATGGAGCTGAATTAGGACTCTGGAAGAAATCACTAGAAGACTGTGATCTCAGTCAGCAGGGCTTGCAGGCTTCCTACTCTTTTGCAAAAGGTTGGGTCTGAATTTGGTCCTTGTTCCAAGGGGACTTGTTGCAACCCCTGAAAGTTACCTTAAGTCAGCCCTGGTCTGTTTCCTAAGGACCTTATGGTATCTTTCAAATCGAGACAAACCCTTGGCCATGGACAGAATAAAGATAAATGGCAAATGATGGGTTAATAACACAATAGGTTTTCAATTTACCTTTATGGAATCCACATATTCATTAATTAAAGAGCAAACGGTGCTTATTTAAAAAATGTGCTTGTAGATATTGACTGACCTCATAGAGAAAGAACTTTTTAGTAAGTTACTTCAGAACCTGTTTCCTTAGCCCACCTATATAGAATATGTATAATCTTTCTCTACAAAGGATGATGATACTGAACCATCAAATGGTAGCCTGTGAGTTCTGAATCATCTTCACATTAGTGATGGATCTTCAATAATCTATCCTTTTATTTTTTCCCAATTGTTTTATGATCAACAACACTACTTGTGAGATGGTTAGTTGGGGCTAGGGATTAACTTTATGACTGAGGAAGAGAATAAAGTTAGCTGGCTCTTGAGGGGCTGGATTCACTATCTTGACCTTATCAGCACTTGTTCAAACCAATTGAGCCAACTAGCTCTGACTGCCCCATCATAATTATATTACGGTCTTGTTTATCTGTAAATGACATAAGAAGATGGTTTGCCAAGCCTGAATGTTTTCAAGAGAATTATACAGTAATAAATTATGTATATAATGATGACCTTTTAAGTACCACAAGACCCTAAAAAGAATAAATTGATTGGCATGGTTTTAGTGTTATATCTACTTTATTGCATTTTTAAATTTGAAAATTAGTTCCTGAATCTGAATTTTCAATTAAACTTTTCCCTAACAATTATAAATCAATGGGAATTTACTTTATGTGTGAGGGAGCCATGTAATGCACACAAGAGAAATGTATGACATGGATTAATTTTGGTTATGGTGACTACATCATTGAGAGTGAAAAAAATCGATTTTTTTAGGGGGGGCAGGAGGAGAGGGAGAGAGAGACTCTTAAGCAGGCTCCACACCAAATGTAGAGCCCGACGTAGGGCTCCATCTCACAACCGTAAGGTCAAGACCTGAGCCAAAATCAAGAGTCGGATGCTTAACTGACTGAGCCACCCAGGCGCCTCCCCAAAATTGACTTTTGATCCAGACCCCACACTTTATGTCCTTACCTTGCTCAGAATTCGGATGAGGTCACCCCTTTGGAAGGACAGTTCGTCTGGCTGGTCACCATGGCAATCCCATAGGCCCTGGTAGTAACTGGTATAGTCCACTGGTCAAAGAGAGGAGAAATCAAAGTTAAAAGGACTCTGTCTTTTTCCATGGAGCCCACATATTTGCTGCAAGTGGAAACCAGGGTTCTAATATTGCCCCTAGGAAACCTAGGATTCCGGGGGTTGGGGGGCTGGGATGAGAATCAGCCAAAGACTCAGCATGAGCAAAGGACTGTGGGAAAAGGAGATCATTAACTAACATTAAATATTTACAGATCACCCTAAGTCAGATGTTATTCAATAATATGATAAATACATTCATTTATTAACAAAAGAAAAACAGGCAGGTAATTTTTTACTTGGTTTGTAAGTAAGCAGTGCAGAGATTTCCTGCCAGATTTTCTTGATCCAGGGCATCTAAACTATCCAGTGCTTGTCTTCAAAATCCATTTGAAGGAATGGGGTAAGTCTCCAACTTCTGCCTATTACCGAGAGGCTGAGTCAGCCAGCTTGTGTCTGCATCACAATCTCACGCATTGGTCTCTTCTGTTAACAGGAACTTCATCCTGGGCACTTCCCACCCAGATTCTGTGTGAGGTAATCCCCCAATAAATACGGTTACGAATAGCCCAGTCTTTAAGTGGAACCAAGGGGGGTGTCTCATCCATTACAACTAAATTCTGGGTGGGCTGGCCCTTTTCCAGCATCTCATTTGTAGACCCTGAACATGCCTGCCAAGATTTATCTGCAAGCCCCCAGGGGGACAGAAACCAAAGTGATCTGCATTAAAAATGAAAGCAACTGAAGACGACAAACCAAGCTTTCGAAGCAGCTGGAGAGATTTACTGGGCTTCTCAGCAAGACTAGATGGCAGTGATGCCACAGGACAGCCATCGATTCTTAGCAATGAAGAATCTGTATTGATCTTCTTCTACCCGGAAAGGTTAAACACTAGAGCACAAAGTGGGAGAGGATCTGGGGATTTGAATGGCAGGAGAGCAGACGCCCACTGGACCAGGGATGATGTGGCTGTGCTTCCATTCCTTCGGATGCTGCGGGGGAGAGTGGTCAGCAAAGCACCTACCAAAGATGAGATTCTTGTTGATGGGAGTCAGGAGTCCTGGGTTCTAATTAAAATTCAAGTGACTTTTGGGGATCCTATTTGTACCAGTTTCTACCTTTCCCTTTGTTTTGACCCTCCCATGAGGAATGATAGTGCTGGTCACTGAGGATGAGAATAGATGGGGGAAGGCAGGTGGGCAGTGTGGGTGGACAGATGCACTGGCTAGGTTTACTTTCTAAAAAACTTGTTCCTAACTTACCAGCAATTCAAATAATAAAGGCACAGGAAAACAAAATCCCTGTGTGTATCTGGAAAAGAACCTTAGTAGGAGTCTTAAAGTGCACAAAAACCAAGGAGGGACAGATCTATTTAATTAAGACTCAGATGCTGCAAACAGAAGTAAACATGTTAACCGTATAGAAATGAGGCATGTTTTCTTTTATGAAGGTAATTGTTTGTATATGCAGTAAACAACAGAGGGCAGCAAACAAGACAACCACACTGGAAACCATTAGTTAAGAATGTGTTCGGAAGAAAAATGCATTGGGAGAAAAATGCTAACTATTGGAAAGACAAGGCATGTATTTTGGGGGATACCAGGGCATGAAATAATAGAGAAATATCAGTCCCTGAAGAGTGAAAATAGTTTTCCCAGAGGATATATTAATGTATTTTTAGTTATAATGGAATTGATTAATCACCTGAAGATTTTGACAAAATTAGAAATGGAAAGTGTGTGTGTATATATATATATATATTAAAGATTTTATTTATTTATTTGTCAGAGAGAGAGAGAGCACAACCAGGGGGAGTGGCAAGCAGAGGGAGAAGCGGGCTCCCCCGTTGAGCAAGGAGCCCGATGTAGGGCTTGATCCCAGGACCCTGAGATCATGACCTGAGCCGAAGGCAGATGCTTAACTGACTGAGCCACTCAAATGTCCCTATATATACATATATTTAAAAGATTTTATTTATTTATTTATTTATTTGAGAGAGTGAGAAAGCACAAGCAGGGGGAGTGGCAGAGGGAGAGGGAGAAGCAGGCTCCCTTTTTTTTTTTTTTTTTAGATTCCCAATTATATTCTTTTTTATTTTTTTTAAATTTTTTATTGTTATGTTAATCACCATATATTACATCATTAGTTTTTGGTGCAGTGTTCCATGATTCATTGTTTGTTCATAACACCCAGTGCTCCATGCAGAACGTGCCCTCCTCAATACCCATCACCAGGCTAACCCATCCCCCTACCCCCTCCCCTCTAGAACCCTCAGTTTGTTTCCCAGAGTCCATCATCTCTCATGGTTCGTCTCCCCCTCTGACATACTCCCCTTTTCTTTCTCTCCTGTTATCTTCTTCTTTTTCTTTTTTCTTAAAATATGTTGCGTTATTTGTTTCAGAAGTACAGATCTGTGATTCAACAGTCTTGCACAATTCACAGCGCTCACCGTAGCTCATACCCTCCCCAATGTCTATCACCCAGCCACCCCATCCCTCCCACCCCCAACCACTCCAGTAACCCTCAGTTTGTTTCCTGAGATTAAGAATTCCTCATATCAGTGAGGTCATGTGATACATGTCTTTCTCTGATTGACTTATTTCACTCAGCATAACACCCTCCAGTTCCATCCACGTCGTTGCAAATGGTAAGATCTCATTCCTTTTGATGGCTGCATAATATTCCATTGTGTATATATACCACATCTTCTTTATCCATTCATCTGTCGATGGGCATCTTGGCTCTTTCCACAGTTTGGCTATTGTGGACATGAAGCAGGCTCCCTTTTGAGCAAGGAGCCCAATGTGGGGCTTGATCCCAGGAACCTGGGATCATGACCTGAGCTGAAGGCAGATGCTTAACTGAGTGAGCCACCCAGGTGTCCCAGAAATGAAACGCATATTGACGTCAATATTCTTCATGCATTTATATGTTATAGAGAAAATAATTTCTAAAAATAGATTTGTAAAGCACAACTTGGTATTTCTGAATGATAAGAAGACTGGCGAAATTGTCTTGGCTTTGTCTAACTTAGCAGATGGTCACTGTGGGGTACTGCTCCCCATTTGCCTGGAAATGCTTTTAAGACTATGAGTACTTTTTGGGTATATATGTAAAAAGTGACTTGATATTGGGCATATAAGACACCAGAGGAGAATACCTGGAAATATACCTATTCTTTTTTTTTTTTTAATGTTTTATTTATTTATTCATGAGAGTCAGAGAGAGAGAGAGGCAGAGGGAGAAGCAGGCTCACCACAGAGCAGGGAGCCCGATGCGGGACTCGATCCCAGGACCCTGGGATCATGACCTGAGCCGAAGGCAGACGCTTAACCATCTGAGCCACCCAGGCGCCCGAAATATACCTATTCTAAAAGCTATATATATCATAGGGAAAGCAAGAAGCTAGGAAGAAAACAAGAGCCTTCCAAGAAAAAATATCAAAAATGCCTTTGGTTCTTCATAAGCTAAAGGTTAAAAGAAGATAGAGCTCAGGAATCTGGCAGATAGTTTACCTAGCGCAAGAACCAGAATTGTCAGAACTAGAACCATAAAAGGACAGCTTCAAAAAATAAGCAGAATGAAGGGCTAAACATGTGGACTTGCTGTCCAGACAGAGGTATTCTGGTACTAGGGAATTCAGTGAGGAGGAACGCCTTAACCGGACAAGATTGGACTCGGTATTGCAGACTCCCTGTTTAATATAGGTGTGACTTGCGTTTATGTGTCTGTGTGCACACAACTTCTCTACATTCATTCCTCAGCATTCAACAGACACGTCCACAGCGCTTACGAAGTGCCCGGGACCGTGCGGGATGCTGGGAATTCCACATTGACCACACACCGTCCCTGCTCTTTGGGCTACTGTCCAGTGGGGGAGGTAGCAGGAAACAGAGTCGTACAGATATTTACTTATCTACGATTGTGATATGTCTTCAAAGGGGAAGTTGAGGGTGCTGTATAGAACAGGGAAGCTAACTTCACGAAAGGCTCCCGGAAGCTTTGGTTGTGTTATGAACACCTGACCGAGAACGGGTGTTATTTAAAGATCTTGAAGAGGGGACGAGGTAAGGTGGAGGAGGGCTTCATTCCTGACCCTTTGCCTCTGGAAGAGCTTAAAGGCCTGGAAGTTTGCTGGGGCAGTCCAGCTTCTCCCCAAATTTGTCCAGGTCATTCTATAAACAGGGGAATGCCTGAGGAGACTGATGTCTTTAGACCACCGAGGAATTGGGAGCCTGAGAGAGGATTTCCTCTGTGGACTGGATTCAGGTTCCTTTAGGTTTACACGACTCTAGCAGCAGTCTGAGATCAGACATGGTGCAGCATTCTGACCATTTAATTAATTCAAAGCATCCTCATTCTCATTTTGAGGACATTATTCCATCTAATTATTTTTTTTCCAGTCTGTCCATTTGGAATGAAAAACAAAAGAATAAAGCTTAATGCCAGCATTTCTCAATGTCTCCAAAAAAAAACGTAACTCTGCGCTAAGTAAAGCCTGGTAATTCAAAAGCAAAGCACTAATATATTCAGCATAAAACAGACAGAGGACCTAGAGCAATAATGACACCACTAATAACTAAAACAGTTATAACAATTAACAACAATTACAATGATAGAGAAGCTAATGGGTATGATCACTGCATTTAAATTGCAAGCAGAGCTGAGAAGGACTTTTTCTAGAGAAAATAAAAGGGGGGGATCATCTTATTTTCTTTATCCCATGTAAGAGAAGCTAAGCTCCCCGCAAACAAAATGTCATAGGAAGAATAGAAACAGTCTAAGTTTAAAAATATATTGTTTTCTCTCTTCTCTAGGTATTTATTGCAAAGCATTTGCCATTGCACACCAAGTTCTTAATAACCAGTAATAGTCATTTCTCCTGTAAAGGAGGCCAAGTTGGTACTACTGTTGACAGGGTCAGAATTTGAAAATGATCCTCTCTGACATGGAGAATTCTAAGTTAGAAAGGACCAGGATACCTTTTTGCCTGTCCTCCACCTTAGAGACAACAGAACTTGACTGTGTTCCTTCCAGAGTTCATATGTCACCTTGGGCTTTTGTGTGGGAGATACTGGGTAGCTCCAGAATTCAAGCTGTGACCAAGAAAAAGAGGCTAAAAGGCAGGTCAGCATGTTGTTTACATTTGCTTGATGAACCAAAGGGCTGTGCTAATGAGGCCTGGTTATGGGAGCAACTACTAAACAAATTATGGAAAAGAGAGACAGAATGAGAAGACGGATAAAGCCAGTCCTTGCTAGACCATGGGTAGGTGAGAAATGGACATGGAAGGCCAAAGCAGTGACCCACTGGAAGGGAATTGGAATATTTTCTAACCCAGGCCAGAGAAGTTCACCATGTTCAGTCCATTAAAACAGACTCAGTCCGATACCTTACTGTTTCAGAACAAAAGGCATAAAGAAATTTGCCAGGATGCCTGGGAGGCTCAGTCAGTTAAGCGTCTGCCTTTGGCTCTGGTCATGATCTCAGGGTCCTGGGATAGAGCCCTGTGTGGGGCTCCCTGCTCAGAGAGGAGTCTGTTTCTCCCTCTCCCTCTGCCCCTTCCCCATGCTCATGCGCCCTCTCTCAAATAAATAAATAAATAAATAAATAAATACAATCTTAAAAAAAAGAAAAAAAAGAAATTTGCCAAACTCCACTGGCTAGGACACCAGAACAAGAAGAGCAGCTGAACATTACCATTTGCTTGTTTTCATAGCCCTTTAATCTTGAATTTTGAAATCTCTATGGTCCTTAATGTTGTAAGTATGATCTTGAACTGGATGGAGACCACTCACAGATCCTGATCTTCATCTCCTATGCTCCTTTTACTGGGCCAAAATTGTAGCTGGCTGATGCTCAACTTATGTTTGGTCTTAGGAAACAGGTTTCAAAAAGTAAGAGTTGCAAAGCCCTCTGTGGCTTCCCTGTTTCTTTCGTGGAATCAACTCCATTGGTATATGCACTAACATGGAAAGGCGCCTTAGCGGTGGAAGCTCATCAGTGACCACGTTTCTGCCTTGCAGAAATTACCGCTTGTGGGCTCCTTTTTGGCTGAGTTTGCCCATGGTTTTAGAGTGAAAACAACCTTTTTGGAGATCTTCCTTGGTCAGATATTTGATGTATCTAAGGATGAGTTGTGCCTCCAGCTCGGCTTTTTATTTGACATGGCTGACCCAAGCCAATGGACAGGAGTTTTTGTATAAACAACACAGAACAAGTTTTCTTTTTGGTTACCTGGACGTTACCTTCTCATGATAGGGAAGGGAGATAAACTCTCATCACAGAAGACACTTAGTGTTAGACTGTTAGGCTGATGGGTTGCAATTTAGTGAGAATCTGAGGTGTTGAAGACTCACTCATTAAAATAACCCTGTTACTAACAGTCATGCTGTAAACTGAGCTCTTTATAGATTGAACAATCAATACTACAAGGCTGTGATAGATTTTCTAGGTAACAGAATAAAATAAAAGAAATTACATCTTACAGGGTCATTAACACCCAATGAGGATAAACTGAATTCCTTTTTTTCCCCCCTCTTCTGATAAGATCTAGTTGGGCTTTAAAAATGTTAGTAACTCTATCACAGGAAAGCACAGCATTTCTGGGAACAGGATCCCTGGAAGAGTTCTGGAGAAGAGTATGTGGATTTTAAAGGTAACCCTGATATGGGGCGCCTGGGTGGATCAGTTGTTAAGCATCTGCCTTCAGCTCGGGTCATGATCCCAGGGTCCTGGGACCCAGTCCTGCATCGAGCCCTGCATTGGGCTTCCTGCTCAGTGGGAAGCCTGCTTCTCCCTCTCCCACGCCCACTGCTTGTGTTCCCTCTCTCGCTGTGTCTTCTCTGTCAAATAAATAAAATCTTTAAAAAAAAAAGGTAACCCTGCTAGCCATAGTATCTTTTAGGAGAATAGCCACCCCCCCCGCCCCCACCAAACCCTGCCAAAGACACGCGACACTTGAGAAAAAAACTAAGTGAACCGAACTTGTGTAGCTTGTCTGTTACATAAGAAGTCACACTGTCCTAGAGTTAGTTCCCTTTTATATGCCTTTATGGGCCTGCCTACTCTTTCGTTGGACCTGTAGATTTTAGTGTTATAAAGCTTAGTGATGACATTTGGATGCTCCGTATTTGTTGCCATTTCTATAGCTCCTTTGGAGAAAAGGCTCTGTATAAATTCAATAAATAAATAAGTAAACACAAATAATAAAAATTCCTGCCTCAGATTCCGCAGAGAGAGCAAAAAGTCCTCTGTTTTTTAATCACCAAGTCACCAATCATAACTGGTGGGAAGTATAAACCATAGAAACATATTTAGAGTTCACTACACTTCAACAACACCTATTTTGGCGGAAGGAAGCATGAGGAACAAAAAAGTTTTGTTTTTTTTTTAAAGATTTTATTTATTTGACAGAGAGAGACACAGCGAGAGAGGGAACACAAGCAGCGGGAGTGGGAGAGGGAGAAGCAGGCTTCCCGCTGAGCAGAGAGCCCGATGCGGGGCTCGATCCCAGGACCCTGGGACCATGAACGAAGCTGAAGGCAGACATCCAATGACTGAGTCACCCAGGTGCCCCCCCTTTTTTTAACTTACTTGAAATAGAGCTGTTGGAACAGTTAAGAAATAAATCTCCCCTCCTCATCCCCCTACCCAAGATAGAACCTCAGAAAGAAAGGCTGAATGAGGAAATGTGATGAAGGAGGAGTCTGAAACTGAATTTTAGACTTTTGCCAGAGACTGCTGCTTCCTGAATGGAGTTTACTATAAAGTTGGCCACAGGAAGTTTATAGTTATTCCACCCAAGTTGTCCATATGAAGCGTCTCTTTCCTGCACTGGTGATGGAAGTTGGTTGAGAAAAGACATGGGACATAGGTTGGTCAGAAAACAGATTTTCTGTTGGAATTCTGCACATTGAGTAGGAAACAGTAGAAAATAAGTTTCAGAATGGACTTAATTATATGGGTTCATTGTTATGAGGTGCTCACTGGAAGCTATGCTAATCCTGGACCACACTTGTGACAGTTCTTTCTTTCTCTCCTGCTCTGGCACCTGACTTCTGATGCTGCCTCTTCTCCCTGGGAGAAGCTGGGCATTGGCGAAGTTAGGTCCTTCACTGAACGTGTTACATATCCAGTTCCCTTAGAGCACGAACCTTAGGAGAAGGGGGCCTTGCCGAGTGGATAACAAAGAGAAGAAACAGCAAAAAGACGAGAAGAGAGAGGAGAACGGGAAAAGGAAGGGCCAGGGAAATGGGGGAAGGACCAGGGAGGGAGAGTTGGGAAGAACTCCTAGGCTTAAGACTTTCATAGAATCTCTAAGAAAAAAATCAGCTAGTATCTATATCAGCCATAATTTAGACTCTGCTGATGAGATGAATGTCCTTGAGGTGGTCCTTGCAATTCACATTCCTTCACTGACAAGGGTAGAATAGGTCCTTGGTTCACTTAAAGAGGCTTTGGAGGGGCATCTGACCTTAGAAAAGGATGGGCTCACTAACTGCCTGAAGCATGGTTAACAGTCTGGGATGAATAAGATGTAATTTTGTATTCAACAAACCTGTTAAATATTCATTTCCAGATGTGCCTGGAATCAAACCAGGCCATCAGAAGTCAGCATCACCAAGGAGTTCTATCCTTCACCCCAGGTTCACTTTTCAGATCTGACACATTTCCATTCCCCTCTGAACTTGCAATCTCCGGACCTCTCAGAGAGGAGACATTTCCATTCTTTCCATTCTCAATCCTTTGATCTCTTAGAGATGAGGCAATTCTATTTTCACTGTACTGATTTAGGAAATACTGATAGGAAAAAATAAATATCCGGTTTGGTTTCTTCCCTCTGTAGGATAAATCTTAGCTGTTCTGGCAACATTAATTAAGGTGAGTGGCTGCTTTGAAGGTTGAGATATTTACCTATCCAGTCATCTTATCTGGGGCTCTTGAGGTTGACACACCAGTACCCTCTTAATTAGTGAGCCCGGTAATATTTGTGGTCTGAACAAAAGTGCCTTCTCCAGTCAGAACCCGAACATCCTACCCAGCGCCTGTGTATTTGTGAGGCTCTCATACCTTCTTTCTGTGGAGTGCCATTCTCATCCTCTTCTAGATCATGCTCTTCATCTGAGGGGGTAAACATGATCAGCATTAGCAATTAGTGGTTGATAGTCTTATGCTCTGTATACTGGTGGGTCTTCTTTTTTTAATTTATTTTTTATTGTTATGTTAATCACCGTACATTACATCATTAGTTTTTGATGTAGTGTTCCATGATTCATTGTTTGTGCATAACACCCAGTGCTCCTCTCAGAACGTGCCCTCTTTAATACCCATCACCAGGCTAACCCGTCCCCCCACCCCCTCCCCTCTAGAACCCTCAGTGTGTTTTTCAGAGTCCATCGTCTCCCGTGGTTCGTCTCCCCCTCCGATTTACTCCCCTTCATTCTTCCCCCCCCGCTATCTTCTTCTTCTTCTTTTTTTTCTTAACATATATTGCATTATTCATTTCAGAGGTACAGATCTGTGATTCAACAGTCTTGCACAATTCACAGCGCTCACTGGTGGGTCTTCTTTCTCGTCATGCTCTTTTCAAGGCAATAATTGTTCTTTTTTTTTTTTTAAATCATCTTACATCTTCAAACTTGCCTTCTCCTTCCCTCCCCATTCAATGTTTTTAAGCGCTTACTACATGCAAGGTGCTACACTAGGAACTGGAGGCCCAGCAATGGACAAGACTGGCAGGGTCCATGCCCTTGTGGAGCTTTCAAACCACTGGACTATTTAGGCACCTATCACTAGAATCCTGATCCTTTCCCTCAAGCTCTATTTCTCCTCTTCTTCTAGAATTCTCTTCTAAATGTATTGTTTCTATGTAAGCATCCAGAGTTATGGGTGTGTGTGTGTGTGTGTGTGTGTGTGTGTGTGTGTGGCTAAGCATGTGTTTAAAACCTCCATGATTAATTAGTCCTTAATGTATCAAGTTTTGTTCAGCTGTAGCAGAAGCTGGTCATGTAGGTAATTTTATGTTCCTAGTACTTAGGGCTTGTAGTTATCTTTTTACTGCTGTTATTCAGCCTGCCATGTTCATTAGAGTGTAAGCTCCTGAGGGCAGTTGGAATGGTCTTTTAATTAATTGCTGCAGGTACACAATGGGTTCTAAGTCAGTGCTATTGTCTAACTCCAATCAAGTGTTTATATGGTCAAAGTCACAACATGATTGGCCTGTTTCTTACCCTCATTAACCTGTTTCATCTCAGACTTCATACTACCTGATACCATGGGAATTGGGTCTTTACAAAGAAAGCATGAGTACCGGACTCATATTAAGCCATTTTCTATGTGGAGTAGGATGCGCAAAAACACTGTTGCTATTCTCCTTTTCATCATCTTTGCACACGCTCTCTCTCACTCACACACACACACACACACACACAATGAATGGGGCATAATAAGCGACACTTTGAGGATTGAACACTTAGGTTTTTTTTGGTCCACATTTACTTTCTCTTCCTGGGTCTTGGGGCACTTACCTGGCTTGTTTCCCCATAGTTATGCCACTAAATGAAACTTTTGAGGAGATGGCCTGGGGACAGTTCCTTTTTTTTAAAAAAATATAAGTTTTATAGAGCAATATGAATTCTGGTATGTCAGAATGGGGGAGGTAAACTCCGAGCTCATAAGTAAGAAGAAACAGCACAAACATACATTAGAGCATTATAGAACATTAAAGAAGTAATCGATTTCACATTAAAATGATACAATTTCCCTGCAAAAAATAAAAATTAAGGGATTGATATTCTCGGGAAATGAGTCATATGTCACCCAGATTAAAAAATTATCATATATGTGATGTATATTTGCCCTACAAGATTCTGTGGGGAAAGAACTCAACTCTTCTTACCTTCATGTATGGCCTCACAACAGAGAATTTCCTACTTACCACCTGTCGTGCCCCCCCCGCCCTCCCCCCCAACCGCCGCCGCGATGACGAATAAAGATGTAAGATAATGGAGGAGTGAAATCAAATATCGGAAATAGACCTTGCCGAAATAAATCATGTCAAACATCATTCTTTGCACATTGTCTTCCTATTACTTGCCCACTTCCTTCCTTCCTCTGCCCTGATGCTTTTCCTTTTTGACATGGGACCAATTTCACAGGATTGAAAACATTAAAAGAAGAGTTGTTACGGCCTCAGTTTTAGAGGTACTCAGTAATTTGGACGGGGAGCATCTCCTCTGCTGATACCAAACGCCTCAGTCACAAAGACCAGTAATTGGCTGTGCTTACGCACCTTTGCAGAGACGGTTTACTCTACTTCTGCTGTCTGTGCCCAGATGTCTCTTCCTCCCAATTCTAATCAATGTAAATTGGGTCAGATCTCCGCTGTGAATTACAAATTGGATCCGAAGTTGGAGGGTCACCGTGCCTGTGACTCCACCTCCTTCCCACCACCATTAGATGGGAAGCTACACCAAAGATCTTTTCTAAATAAATCAGACTTTATTGTAAAACTTGGCCACTGACGAGACATAACCTCATTAGCATTGATTTTAAAATAAATTATTGAAAGTGGCTTGCCTGCTCTTTGCATTTGTAAAACAGGAGAATGTAAATGTATTTGCAATGATAAAAATGAAAACTAAACTTTATTCCTTTATCCTTTCAGGCAACAGCACTTAATCTAGTCATGATACAAAAATGGGAAAAATAAAAATCTGCTCTATGCCATTCAATTCCAGACCAGACACTCTGATTTCCTTTGTGCCTGTGGAGTCACCTAGAAAGAAAGCAGAACGCTGGCCATAGCTCTAATCCCCACATCTGTTCTATCTGACATTGACCTTCCCGGGGCGCTGAAAGTGGGCTCAAGTCAAGAAGCCTAGCTACGGATGCGAGAGGCTGGGTGCTGTGCCTTTGAAGGTGTGAGTATGGAGGTACCGTCCCATAGGGAAGGCAATGCTCTCCACAGCTGGTGTACAAGGTAGCAGTTCTCAGCACCTTCCCAGCTGCAGAGAGGTGACACTTTACCTCGGATCCTTCAGTGAGATCAAACTGGCATCTTTCAAACTCCAACATCGAGAAAACCAATTCCGTGGCCCCAGAAAGAAATGTCTCTTTGCTCACAAAAGAGGGTGGGTTAAACAGCTAGATTTCTCTCTCTTTTTTCTCTTTTTATCTGTAAAATGAACCTTCAATTTTAAAGAGATTATTTTGAAAAAAAATTTTTCTTTAGGCTAAAGAGCTTGTTGAACTTCTTTATAAGAATATTATTAGGCATTTTAGCATTACATCTACTGGAATACATCTTCATTTAAGAGAGAATTAAAATTTATGTGCTAGCTCAACTTTAAACAGTAATAGATTATAATGGTCCTTGCTCCTAACAGGGCATATGGGACCCCAACCTTACATAGGTTTTAAACAAATTAACCTCTAAAGATTACTGTCCACTTATTACATTAAATGCTCTACTTGATTCCCAAATATCTCATCTCAACTGGGAAAACAGTTGAGGAAGATTCTGTGAGCTGTGCGAACATGTGAGAGAACCATGGGGCATCACAAATGAGCCTCAGTATCCAGAGAGTTGATTTCAATCAACTGTCTTGGCACAATGTCAGGGACACTAATGAGAGGCTGAAAGGAACAGGACACTGACTTCACCGCAGAGACACAGAGAGGAGCCAGCTTCCCATGACACCTGGCTCCTTTCTGAAGTGCTTTCTCTGACATGGGCTAAACTGAGAACAATGCCGCAAAAAATGACTGGATCAGAAAGAGGGAAATCACTTCCCCCAAACAAAGCAAGGTGACAGAAGCTTAAAAAATGCCAACTGTATCAATGTGCAACCAGATGTCAAGGTGCTCTGGTGACAGATGCAACAGAAATGCAGATAGACTTGGAGTACAGAGACAGCATGCAGGAAAGTAGAAATGGAAAGCACTCCACAGCAGGCACAGATATGCTATAAATCTGTGGATGCTACAGCACCTCTTCAGACAACACGGAAAATATGAGCAAGATGCTAATAACACACTTAATTCTCTGTTGTATAGTTTTTAATCTCAACTGTTACCTCAGAATATTTGCATCCTATCTCTGTGGTATGGGTCTTGATGAACACGATATCAAATCCAATTTGTGCTAACTGCAACACTTGGAATACGCTGAATTTAATTTCACAAATAATAATTGAGCACCTACTAATTGGAGGAGAAAGACCTGAATACAAATCACCATGGTAAGGGCTGAAACGGAGCTCAATTCTAGTTGAGTATTTGGGAGGGTGTCACAAAGGAGACATGTTCGAGCAGAAGGAGCAGGGTTTCATAGGTTGAGCTCAGGGAGGATGTTCTAGGTGAAAAAACCCCTAGCATGATCCTGGTTTTGGTGCTGGCCAAACAACACCTGGTGCCTGGGGCCCAGTGTGCACGGGAGTGAGAGAGAAAAAGGGCCAGGAAGCTCAGGCCTGCTGATGGCTTTTACGCTTTGAAGCTCCCTTCCATGGAGTGCTGTTGCTTTTCCGTGAAGCTGAAAATCCCTTTCTTCATAAACTTTGTGTTTTTGGCATCTGTTTTTTTCTTTCCTTAGACCTACTCTCACCATTTCTTCTTCCTGTGGGTCTGGACAACAGTGAAGGGGGAAAAAAAATAATTCCATAGAACGCTTGTTTCCATTTGACTCAAATTAAAAAAACAAGAAACAAAAAACCACCCAGTTATATGCTTTATTATAAAGCAATCTGGTTCCTGGGTCTGTAATAACCCTCTGGGGCAGTGTGGGCAGCATCGGCATGCACACAGAAATTCCTAGGGAGAACTCATTGTCTCTCTCTCCATTTGCTCTCCTGAAATCTCTCCTGAGAACACTGCCAGATTCTGTTGTCAGTGCAGCTGTGACAAGGCCCCAGTTAAAGCTGTACAATGGTCTCAGGCGCCTTGCTGGATTCCAGCTTTGAGGCCCCAAAGTGAAACCTGATAAAAGTTGTCCTTTTATGGAATACTGAATCACAAAACTGGGCCTGTGCTAGCCTGTAAAATAATTTCCGGGGAGGGGTGAGAGAGAGCTCAGCAAAGCCTCCCATCTTCCACAGACTGCTTTAGCATTTCTTTGTGGTAGTTCCCTACAGTTTAATCTACTGCAAATGAGATCTTAAAAATCAAGGGCCCCCATATGCTCAACACGGATGCTCAGAAATCCCACCGGATACCAACCTTGAAACCATATTACCCAGGCCTAATATTTTTGTGGTCTTGGCTGAAAACCTCGAGCACTCTGATTTTCCCTCATGGGAAGGACAGTGCCAGCCACGTAGCAAATGCTAATTATCCCATGATCAATGTGATGTAGTGCATTTAATTTGATGACCCATACATTATTTTGACTAGGAAAAAACATTTTTGTATTGACTTGGTATGTGTTACAAGCACTTTTCTCTCCACTAGGAAGACCACTGAAATTATATTCTGGAAGGGAGATCTCACTTATGTGGCCTTCCAATAGAGACCGTGAGGCTTGCGTAGGCCCCAGCCCAAAGAGGAAGCCATAGCAGAGCCATCAATGCTAAGTATTCTCTGCAAAGCACATTTACCTGTTATAATGAAACAAATGTGAGAAGCACAAGCCATCTGACTTTTGATGGGTATGCAGTGTTAGCACAATCCAACGTTACCGTTGGCCATCCCTCCACCCAGCACCTGTCCTTGCAGTAAAAACGGGCCTGAGCAGAAGGTGTGCTCCACATTCCATCTGCTCAGAATTTTCAATTTCACCTGCTTCATACTTAGAGCTGAAAATGTCCAACTGGACTGTCTCAGGTTTGGTTGGTAGAGGCGGGGAACTAGCCATCCCTCAATTTTTCAAGGAGGTAACCCTTCCTATTTAAACACCACCAAGTTACTAACAGCCAGCGTTACTGAGTGCTCACTGTATGCCAAGGCTCCGTTCTAAGTGCTTTACACACTCCGGTTCTAGGCTTCTCACAGCATCCCTCTACGACAGGTACTATCATTATCCCCATTGTACAGGTGGGAAAATCACACACACAGAGGGCAAATCACTTGCTCAAGATCTCACAGCTAGCAGGTGGCTGAGCAGGTCCATTCTGACTCAGAGCCAGCACTTTTACTTGCAATACCTTGCTGTCTCTCGCATGCGGCTGCTCCATAGATCTTGTAAGATGGCAGCAGAGGGTAGGCATTGTCAGCTGCCCTCACATTCCCTTCCAATTCCTCCAGGGCTGGTACTGTGGCACATGTATAGTGAACAGAAAATTCCAGAAGCAACAAGCTGAGTGGCGTGGGTGGGAAGCTGGGGGATGGAGACTCGGGGCTGAAATATTCTTACCATCATTAAATGCCAATATAGCCTACCTCCAATGCTGTCTCTAAAAACTGGGATGGATAGATGGTTCTTTTCGGGAAAGAACCTGTTAGTTAGCTGCGGTTTCCCTAACATGAAGAAAGATGCCCTGGATCTCCTGCAGTGTGGCCTTCCTCACTTTCGGGGGACAGTTGTGAGCATAGGCGAAATGGTTTTCCTCGGGAAAGCAGGCCAGTGTCCATGCCCCCAGAGTCTACTCCAACATCTCAACTGGTGCAAAGTTCAGAGGCATGCCCTGGGACCCTCGGCAGTGCCGGGATGGCCAAGGGTAAGAGTTGAGGAGGCAAGTTCCGGAAGGATGGTCGTTAAGAAGCCAATCATACATTCATTGACCCATCATCTGGGGTAAGATGATGGTCTCAAAATCATCTTATTTCCTGAGGCTCCTTCTCTTTCCTGCCCTTTGCTCTGCACCTCTGAGCATCAGCCCCCTCCTCTCTGGTTCCTCTGAGAACTAAACCTGTGCACAAAAAGGCCCTTCTTTGCTCCCCAGAGGGCTGAGTGGTTCAGCGAGGTTTTCCCAGAGCACTCCTCCACAGCTGTAACCCAAAGTGGAGTGTCACCCGGATATTTCCCCCAGCCTAGATGGGAGTGAGTGGAATGTCAGCTCCCTAAGAAGATTCTGGCCAAGTTGGGGAGTACATCTCCTTTAAGGGAGTGTTGTGAATTAGATCCATTTCTGCACCCTGCTGTTGCAATGGAGCAGACTGTGAAAGGGAAGATTCTCAGAGGAGCTGTGTTTTAATGTAGCAATTTGATTCAATTTTCCACTCTATAAAATTACCCATCACTGCTCGTTGCTTTCTAACAGACACCTTCACTCTTAATTTAACAATCCTATCGAATTCTGCCAGGGAAATTGGAAAAATTTATCACCTGTGAAATTTTATTTTCCTTTGGTTGTATCTGTTTTTGTAAAACTTCATTAACGACGATGACTTGCTGAGGAAATTATCATTTTTTTTTAACTTCAGACACAAGAAATGGCTCGACCTCAACCAAGATATCATTTGCATAATAAAACACAACAAAAAGGCTGGGGAAGCCGGGACTGGCAGAGGCTGGAAGTGTTAGGAGAAGCAGGCTTTCCCTGGTGGGTGGGGAGGTAGGCGAAGTCCTCAGCAAGGAGACATGGTGGGGCCACAGCCTGGCTCCTTGACTCAGGAAGCAATGACGTGGCTCCCCCCGCGCCCCCCACCAAGGGAAGAGACAAATGCAGCATTGACAGGGTTGGACCTTCTTCTTAGGAAGTCTTGAAATGCAAGTTGCTTACTGACCCTGTTTTTAGCAACCAGTCTTGTCTTCAGGGGCCTGAGTATTAGATTCACCTTCGTTCCTAAGTTCATCTGGGATCAAGGTTTAAATTGCTATAAATTTTGGCTTAACTCGAATTTCTCAGCAGAGCACTGCACTCCTGGCAAATTTCCACAGGAGCAATCTTTCTGAATGGACTTGAAGATTCAGCGTTCCTGTGGTCTAACTACCTCACAATTAAGAGGCTCAGGCTTTGGTTTTCCACAGTCTGACCCCCACTGTGCTCTGCGCCGTTCAACAGCTGCTGTTGTTCCCACAAGAAGGGGCTATGTGGAAGCAGTGATGACTATACATTTTTTGGATGCCAGTTATCATGCCTTTGGAAGAAAAGAAATATGTACAGGGGCCTGCTGTAATGGTGGGCAGAGGAAACAGGTTTATGTGTGAGAGAGACGATTAGATTTGTGGTATATCTGAAGTAGGGACTGATGAGTTATACTCTATCAGGTCTTCTTCAGTTACTGACAAGGTTTGTCAGCACTTACTTGTATTCCTTTAGACTTTTGATAATCTTCATCATTTTGAGGCGACTTTATTCACTCTCACATTTACCCAGAAAAGAAGTTGAAACTAGAGAGTTTTGATGACCTACCGCAAGATCCAGAGTAAACCAATGAAGGCCAACATGAGTAGACTACTTGACTCTTTAACCTTGTTGACATATGTAATAATAAAGTTATTGTTGACATATGTAATAAGTTACCTCACATGGCAAGGGTGAAAGACACACCCTGATCAATTCATCTTGCTCCCAGAGCAAGGGAGAGCTTTTGTACTGGGAATCACAGAAGCTCCACTGAAGCTTCCCTAAGTTGTTTTCTTCAGAGATTTGGCTTCCTCTGGAGGTTTCAAACTTATATTCTTCCACCAGGTCAAGAATTTCTGAAACTTATAGAAGATAATCAGAAGACAAAATTTCTCACCTGGTAAGGCTTCATAAATATCTTCTTCTGTCTCCTTTGTGGGCTCTCTTGGCCCCAGACTCCCAGGCAAGATGACAGGTCTGCACTGGGAACCGGAATTTGGGGCATCAAAACCATCGATATCATCATATGTCTCTTCCTCTTCCTCCTCTTCCTCCTCCTCTTCACATGGAATAGTTAAGGAGCTCAGATCTGCCAGGGCAGAGATGAGAATGAATCCAGATGGGGAGGAAAAAGGAGAGAATAAGGCAGGGAAGGGAAGAGGGAGAAGGAGGCAGAGGGATGAGAATAAGGTATGTCAAAAGAAAATGAAACGCTGGGTTAAGTGCTGTTATTTCTGATGGGGGCCTTGGTGCCAGGAAATCCACAGAAAAGGCCAGACTAGCACTGCGTCAGGCTGAAACCATCAACATAAATCCTTCCTTGCAATCAAACTTGATCAGGATGAAGCAGCTCTGAAAAGTAGGAGCGTGCGAATGAGCACAAGAGGCGAAGGGATGAGAAGAAGGTGGAAGAGGACATGCCAGCACCCCGTGCGCTGTTCCCTGAGTAGAGAAAGGGCAGGTGGATGGCCTGTGGCTCCCCAGGGTGCGCAGAGCCCTGGGAACGACGGTGGCTCCCAGAGGGTAGCCGAGCTGTCAGAAGCTTGTCACCCCCATGACCTCACTGCAGAATGTCAGACAAGTTTGTTCATAAAGAGAAAAACGGGCAAGAGTGGAAGGAGGGAAAGTGAGATACAGAAAAATATGACAGTTGTGCGAGACCAAATGGAATGGCTGAGCCACGGGGTTACCATGTCATTTTGTAACTGTGCAGTCTGGCTGACCTCAAAGTGGGTCACTGCAGAGAGGATGTTGAGCTGTTACAGCACTGGGCAGCACAGGGCAGGGGAGGGAGATTGGTTTTTTATTTTAATGGGGAACTGGGAAGGTTCGCTCTCGGATGTCTAGTACAGAAGGCTCTCTGAAACCCTGCTGAGGGGTCTCTGCAGGATGGGGGAGTGCAGTCAGGGTACTCTGGGGAAGGAATGGATGGAGAGACATCCGATGTTCATTTCAAAACACAATAAAACTGTTTGGCTTGATTAGGCATTTAATAAAGATTTTGTAACAATTTTCATCGGAATTCTGGTGCCACCTCATATGAGGAAGGGATCAAAGACACATTTGTGGCTTAAACCATATGTTATTATTTTGTTTGTTTTAAAATAAAATGGAATGAATAATTTCTTCAATGTGGGATTCTGAACGTACCACAGGGTACAGCTCAATAAAGCTGCTTTGAGTTTTATTGAGGTTTACACACTTAGGGGTATATTACACGCATAAATCCAAGGCACCTAGATGAGAGTGTACCCTGTAGTCTTGCCATCAATGTTCATGTTTGCCTAGTTCCAGTCTATTATACGTGACGCTCTTAGTAGATGCAATAGTTTGTTTTTGTGATAGCAAAGGCATAAACTGAGTAAAATAGGCAATTCTTGTAATTAAAGCTCTGGTGCTTCCTTCTTTTTATCCACAATAAAATCTTATGGCAGAATAAAAAAAAAACGGAGATGAAAAGGCTTGGTGTTTTTAGGCTGGTGTGCTTCTCCCTAGGTCTTGGGCCATGTACAACGTTGGCGTTTCTGCCTTTCTGCAGCGGCAGGGTCCTGCCACGAGGGTCTATCCTGGGTTATCTGATGCCAAGTGACGGACTCAGGTTGGCTGTTTCTACCTGTCAAGCCACTCCCAGATAAACCTTCCTGGGCCACTCTCACTGCTGTGCCTGCAGGCTGGCCAGCAGAGGGTACTCTAAGAGCGGTCATTTAACATCTTCAGGCAGGACTCTTCCCATCCCAAAGCAAGGGACATTTTATTGTGGTTTGGGTAAGAACAATTTGCTTTTAATGTTCAAGTTGATGAAGGCCACCTTGATAAGTATATATTTCTACTTCCTGCTAAGTTTCAAACAAGAAGATTTGGGGCCTAAATTGCATCTAGGTGACTTTACATTTGATATCATGAATTTCTTTTCCAGAACATAAGGGGTTGGGAGATACCGAGTTGAGCTGAGCTGGTTTTCAGAAGCTCCTTTTCTAGCGATTACGAATACTACAGAGGTCATCTCCAGGTTGATGGTTTCTTTACGTTATGATTCATACATGGTACTATTTGTTGTTATAATATAAGGGATGGTAGAAGGGAGAACGAACAGAAAAGAAAATACAGATTGAAGACTGTGGATTATATTTACGCAATATAACTTCAACTGCAAATCCACTTAAATGTTGTTTCTGTAATAAGGATACTTACCCTTTAACAAGAAACTGATTTGATCCACCCAGTCTCTGGCTTCAGCTGGATTAGCAGCTGTAAACTAGAGAAAATTAGTGAATTAATTTATTACCTTCATGAATTCATAAAATTTCCATGAATCCTACAGGGAGGTTCAAACAGAAGAGCCTGTGAGTCAAGTTGTAGAGTCAGGTTGAAAGCTGAGGGTGCTCTATCTGCTTAATATTTAGAAAAAAGATCGAAATCTTACTCAAAGTGATATTTTCTTTCATTTGTATACCCAATGTTGACTACTATTTGAGTCCAGACCTTCACATTCACATGCATTCATTCAAGTATCCATGCATTCATCAGGCATTTTTTTGAGAAAAGTTTACAAAAAAAAAAAAAAAAAAGCAAACCCAAACTCCTGACTTTAAAGAACAGGGTATCAGTTATGAAGACAAGATACACACTTGAGATGGGAACCCACAAAGTAGGTGCATCTGAGAACAGTTGGATGCTGAGAGAGCATAGGAGTCCTTACTGTTGCCTGGAATAAAGCCAGGGAAGCTGGTGTAAGTAATACTGTTTTGGTTGGATTTTAAAAGAGTTGGTGGAAACTGCCTGGTGGAGGGAACCATGTGCAGGAGATTAGGAATGAGACCACTGTGTATGGGGGAAGGTAGGCAGATCGACTGGACCGGAGAACAGTAACAGGTGATGCGGGAATGTTGCCGGTCTGGGAGGAGTTGGTGAAGGGGCTCTGAGTACTAGGAGTTCAGACTTAAAATGTAGGCAAGAGGAAACCACTGTAAATTCTAGCAAAAGATGCGGGAGATTCTTTCAAGAATCTGGGGAGGAGGGATAAGAAAAGGGAGAAATTGGAGACAGGAGGCCAGCTAGAAGGCTATTTCACTGGTCCTCTGGGGGAAGTGGTTGGGACAACTATTGTGATGGCTGTGGGAATAAGTAAGAAGGGGAAGATCCAAAGGCTATTGTAGAGGAAGAATCCACGGACCATGATAACGATTTGGATTCAATGGGCCAAAGAAAAGAAGTAAACAAACTCTACATTCTGATTCACAAAACAAGCCAGTCAAGCATCAAGCCTTAGCAATTTTTTATTTTAAATGAATCAACTTGAAATGACTGTTCCTGAAAAACATTTTTATTATCTGGCCATTAGGGTAAGATAAAGATATGTGCCATATAAGAAACCTAGATTCCTGCTTAATACTTATTAATAGACATTGTCATTCTTGATTTCTTAAAAACTCATTTCCATAAGAAATGTCTAAGGAAATTGATTTAGACTTGTCATATAAATTTTTATCTGGAGGAGGCACCATCAATACTGAATAATAAAAATAACTTAGATACATGCCCAGTGCATACATCTGTTATATATATATCTATGAAGGACTCTCTAGAAAAGTTTAGTTTAAATAAAAAAAAACTTTTTTTGAAATTCCATATTGAAGACCTGGTCGTTTTATCAAAATGAGGTTTAAGATACTGAAGAAACACAAAAGGATGAGTACTGTGAAGCATTTGAAGAGTCAAAGGGTTATTCAAGTGGTTAATATTAACCTTAGCATGTCTTTTCTCTTTTTCATAAGTTAGCTAAAAATTTTCCAAATTGTTTTAGTAAAACTGTGACAAGATAAAAATGACCAACAAGCAGGAAATAATACTGGTTTGTATATATATATTTATACACACACACACGTAAAAATGTATTTTCAGAGAAAATCATGACATTCCCATAGTCAGAATTTTTAAAAATTGCTTTAGTTAATAAATGCCTTACCTATTATATTACCTACTATATTGTGTCAAAATATATAAAAATGAACACAGTGAAGAATAAGCCTTTCCCACCCCAACCCAGGTACTCTAGTCCCTCCAGTTATCACTGTTACTACTCACTAATCATTGTCACCAATGTCTTGGGAGTCCTTCCAGAGATATACAATGCTTCTACACACAGGAAAATTACTTTGGATAGCAAGATGAATATGGGAAAATAACTTTTCATTCTACAGTCAGGTTTTTCTTTTCCTGGGTTTCATGGAAGGAAGTAAAGATAGTTAAGAAAAATAAAGAGAATGGGAATTGAAGGTGTGAAATCAGAGATGTTGAATAAGGAATTGGATTGTGTGCTCCAACAGACAGGACTCTCTCCTATGGAGTGAGACTGGGATGGTGGGGGGTGAGGGGTGGAAGCCAACCAAAGGCGGTATCTGGGATGAGAGTGACAAGAGAGAGGAGGGAGGACGGCATCACATAGCAAAGGTGAAGACATGTCAAGAAAGAAGGTCCTGGTAAGGAGTGAGCAGGTAACAGAGAAAGGATGGAACCCAGCAGAGCACCCCCAGCTCACATGCCGCATGGAACGAAACTCCAACACAAATGAAGATCATCATCTCCTCAGCTCATCCTACCTCATAGCTGCGCCTATCCTGGGAGGTCAGTTCAAAGCAGGATTCTTTCTTGGAATCTTTTCGAAGGTAGGGGGCCATCCGTACACTGTAGCCCTTAATGAGAAAGGTCCCTTTGGGCTGCTTGCCTGCAAGACAGGAAAGCTCCCTGTATCCCTAGAGAGATGCAACCGCCAAGGGAAGGCATCTTCTCTGGAATGTAAAATAAAAGCATGGAAACAGCTGTTACCTCCCCGAGGAAACACAACAGTCAAGGAAAGGTTATTAAGGAAGCTTAAGAAGAGGCTACTGTGACAGCGAGGCAAAGATCACTGCCAAGCTAGGGAAATGCAACATGAAAGGTTATTTTGCCAAAAGAGTACAACAGAGACAGAGAATTTATTAGAATGTTAAGAGATCTATAATAACAGAAGGAAAGAATTATTACAGCAGGGAGAGTGTGGCTGTAAATGTGAGGCTCTTGAAGGCTATTAGAGAACTGCAGCATATTATCATCAGGGCCGGCAGAGCTCACATTTGAGGGGAGGGACAGCAGTGCGGGGGGCGTGATGAGTTCCCGGGATCTCTTCCTCTGCCCTATGTAGCATTTGGGCTAGACTGCTCTCCCCCTCCTGCTGGTCAGGTTGGAATTGGTGCTAGAGGGAGAATAATTAAATCTCAGTATTTTATTTATCCCCCTTCCAAGAGGTCAAATTGGGAAGTAGTAGAGTACTGTTAATTATCACTGGGCGATGAAGAAGGAGGAACAGGATTAAGGGAAGGAAAGGGGAGACTACTCTGTCTGTTGCTCCTTTTTTTTTTTTTTTAAATAAACTATTAGGAATGGGAAAAGAGGGTCTTGTTTCCAATGATTTTGTGTCCTCCTGGTGTGGTTCAGGCAGAACATACAGAGGAGTGGAACCACAGTGTCTGGGTGATGATTTGTGTCCTGTATCATGTGCAATGGATTGTTTAATACATGCCTTTTGAGGACGATGATGATAAGTTGGCAGTGGGATGACAGTATTAGGAAAAGAAAAGAGAAGGACTCTATCCTTACCTGGTTAAGCTAAAAGAAATATACAAACACTCAATACTTGCTAAGAAAAATGTCTTGGGCACAATAAGAAGTAACTGGCAAGAAGGGAGCCATGCAACAGTGCTTTTTGACACCAGAATCTTTTTTGTTAAAGTATCTCTCCTTGTTCTAACTGGCCACTAAAATGTTTTGTTGTTTCTTTGGCCACCAGGTTTTATTTCACCCTGACGGCAAAATGGTCCATAAAAGTCTCCACTTCTCTCCCTCTCCCACTCTCTCACCTTGAGTATAGAGGATTCTGAATGATTGAACATGATACCTGGCTTTATGTTCAGATATGCCAAACACTTATTTAAATGCAAGGGAAATGAACATTTTTACAATGATGTAAATGTTATATGAGTTTGAAGTTTTAAAATAAGAAAATAGTACCTGGCTGGCTTGTACACCCAGAATTCAGGGAAGAAATTATGGTTGCTGGGCTGGAGAGTGGTTTGGGGGTTGGACGGAAGCTGGGGATGGTTTTGAGCTATGCGGCTATGATTGCCAAGTAGTGCTTCACACTTCACCCCTACATGGGAAAGTCTCTGAGGAATGTAAGAGGGTGAACCCAAGATGAAGTCAGTGATACCTGTGGTAGGCAGAAAGGCAGGGTGAGCCAACTGCCTTGAAGCCCAAGGGCAAATCTTAAGGATGCCAAGTCACTTAGCAAAGCTGTAGTTCTTTCTGTTATCTTAATACCAAAGGCATGGGAAGTCCAAAGGCAATTGGGTAGATATCTGATTATTCCCTGGTACTGGATATCTAGGCATTGGGAGATGCATAATCCTGGGAAGGACGGAAGAGGGGAGAAACAGGGAATGACTGGAGGGAAAACGAAGGGTTTACTTGGAATAACTGGCCTCTGTGCCAAGGTGGCAGAGCCTAAGGAAAGCCCCCACAAGAACTGATGTGTTGCTTTTTTAATTTCTCTCTTGCTTCATAGAATTATTCCTGGGGCTAGTTAGAGTCTGCAGGAGGGTATCCCCTCTTTGAAATTTTGTGTTCACTTACAATAATAATTTTTAACTTGTATTTAGTTGTAGCTGCCTCCAACTTGTGCTTATATCTTGTTCCTTCTCATGAACTTAGCGACACTGTTAAGCATGGATGGGAGATCTTCTAGGGATCGCATATGAGTGTTATGCTTGATTGACTCAGTGGTGGCTCATTAAGAAGCTGCCTCTGGCCTGAGTCAACACTTCACTGCTGCTGCCATCTGGCTGGAGGGTGTCTCTTGGGCACAGCAACCATTTTGGTCTCAACACTCCATGACTCTAGGGATGTCCACTGGACTACTTCCCAGTATGCAGTAAGATAAAGTTGAGAGCATATTCTTAGAGAGTTTGGACCCAAGGGTTCTATTTCTGGGCTGTTGGTAAGCTGTTCAAATCCTTCTCAGATTTTTTTTTTCAATATTTTAACTATATTATTAACATCTATAAAGAGTTTGAGGTTCTTGGGGTGCCTGGGTGGCTCAGTTGGTTAAGCGACTGCCTTCGGCTCAGGTCATGGTCCCAGGGTCCTGGGATCGAGCCCCGCATCGGGCTCCCTGCTTGGCGGGAAGCCTGCTTCTTCCTCTCCCACTCCCCCTGCTTGTGTTCCCTCTCTTGCTGTCTCTCTCTCTCTGTCAATTAAATAAATAAATAAAATCTTAAAAAGTTTGAGGTTCTTAAAAAAATGCCAAAGTGTTCAACCTTGATAGTGTTATGTTATTAGTCATAATAAAAGATAACTTTTTGGGGCGCCTGGGTGGCTCAGTCGTTAAGCGTCTGCCTTCGGCTCGGGTCATGATCCCAGGGTCCTGGGATCGAGCCCCGCATCGGGCTCCCTGCTCGGCGGGGAGTCTGCTTCTCCCTCTCCCACTCCCCCTGCTTGTGTTCCCTCTCTCACTGTGTCTCTCTCTGTCAAATAAATAAATCAGATTTAAAAAAAAAAAAGATATAGACACCCTTATGTTAAAAAAAAAAAAAGATAACTTTTTAACATTTTATTTTATTTTTTAAAGATTTATTTATTTGAGAGATTTATATGATCTGAAGAGTTTATTTGAGAGAGAGAGAGAGTGAGCATGTGTGTCCACGTGAATGAGGGGAGGGGCAGAGGGAGAGAACCTTCAAGCAGACTCCCCGCCGAGTGCAGAACCCCACCTGGGGCTTGATCACATGACCCATGAGACATGACCCCCGAGATCATGACCTGAGCCGAAGCCAAGAGTTGGACGCTTAACCGACTGAGCCACCTAGGCACCCCAAAGATAACCTTTTGATATGCTGACCACACGATCCTAGTGTTTAAAGGGGAAATAATTTCTAAATTGGCATCTGAGTTTTTGGGGATGGGCAAGGTATTACTTACCCAAGTCTCTTTCTTTCCCAAGCATGTCCCTTTATGGGTGTTAGTTAAAGACTGCTATCTTGAGATCTAAGTGCTTGAGAATTTACGAAGTGCTTGCATCCAGGAGGGAGATGCTGCTGTGCAAATGAAGAACACTTACTTTTCTCATTAGCATAGTAGTAGAAGAGGCCTCTGCTGACAACACACCATCGCTTCTGCCACTCTGATCCAAAGAAACTATGATCTAAAGGGAACAGCGGTAAGGGACATAAATTCAGGTAACTACAACCACTGACGAGTCTGTAAAGTCCAACACACAGTCCAGTGTATTATTGTTTTATTTCCTAGATTAATGGACTGTAAAACCCTCCCTTTCACTCCTGCAGGCATTCCCATATTGACTCAGAGTCCAGAGGGCTCGCTCAGTTAAAGGTCCAAATTCTAAACAGGGTTTGCCTGTTCTGGCCCCTCACGGCTGTCCCACTATCTACCTTCCTGTATAGCTCTCGGGTTCTAATCTCATCCAGTACTTTTCAAATTCTCTGTGATACTTTCATGTGGTGCCTTTTAGCAAACCTAGCTGATGCTCCAGGCCACGGGCATGAGAAAGGCTTTCATTGTACTAAGGCAATTTGCCGTTTGAGTGTTAAACCTGGGACCCGGGGCTTAGTTAGGGTACCAATATCTATTTTAATCCAGTGAGTGAGAGGTGGAGAGTCGGGCTCCTCTGAAATGTGAAACTGGGTTGCTTCACACAGGATGTAAAATTATACTTTGGCAACATAGCTTTACTCTACAGGAGCATCCTGAGAGATGAGAACAAGAATATCATCACTCATTCATTCAACAAGTATTTTTATTAAGCACCTGTTGTGTACCAGGTGAACAAAGCAGAATGGGTTCCTATCCTGATGAAGCTCACAATCGGCTGAAGATTTTGGGGCCTCTCTCTTCAGCCTACGCACAAACACCAGACTTCCTTTCCTCTCCCATCTTCCTTTTGGCCTTCCCCCTCCTGAGCACAGAACTGGGCATAGAAAAAGCACCTGCTATGTTAGGCCTCTTCTTCCTCATTTCCCTTCCCTTCCCGGAATGTTCTGAGACCTGTGGGTCTGGTCAGTACCTTTGCTTTTCTTCTCCAAGTATCCTTGCTTGATGATGTTGTCAAGTTCTTGAGCTCCTCTTATGATGTCTTCCAATCCTAAAAGGAAAAACAGCAGAATGCTTTGTTGAAACCTGACAGAATTTTCATTTATTTAGGCTCCTTTAGATATTCCACATTAATGAAGGGGGTGTAGAAGGGCAGCTGCTTAAAACACAGCACAAAATAAAACAATTTTTATATGATTGGGGGGAAAAGGTAAATTTTCTTTCTTCCTAATTATATCTAATGCTAAAATCACTTATAATGATCAAAACCTACATTAGTTTGTGCAAGGGGAAGTAGCCTGAAATATGTATGGATTGGCAAGAAAAGGACTCTAGAGAATTAAGAATTTGCTGTGGATTATAAGCTCCTAATTGGATAATCCACATCGAGATAATCAAAAGTCAAATGAATAGCTACCAGCAGAAAGAAGCTTAATGAGTGATAGAATTCACCATAAATGCAGCCACCTCCGTGAGAGCAATAAACACACACTCACTCTTAAAAAAAAAAAAAAGAAACAACAACAAAACAGAAAGCCACCTCGTGAACATAAATTTTATTAAGTTTGCACAAAGAAGGGCTATGCAGGCTGAACTGGCAGTAGGTGCCACATCCTGGTTTTGTCCAAGTATGGAAAAGAGTCTAAGAAGGACTGAAGCCTTTACCAAGAGAAGACTCTGGAACTGACATCGGCCTTTAAACACATGCTGCTGGGGCGCCTGGGTAGCTCAGTCGTTAAGCGTCTGCCTTTGGCTCAGGTCATGATCTCAGGGTCCTGGGATGGAGCCCTGTGTTGGGCTCCCTGCTCAGCAGGGGAGTCTGCTTCTCCCTCTCCCTCTGCCCCTGTTCCTATACTCTCTCTCTCATTCTGTCTCTCAAACAAATAAATAAAACCTTAAAAAAATAAACATATGCTGCTCACATCCTTGACTTTCAATTAGCCTCGTTAGGTACAAATTTATTGAGAAGTCAAGATCCTGATCCATCTTTCACTACTGGGGTTTATACTTATTTTACAGAAGTGAGGGGAAAAGGACAAAAGAGAAGGAATTGACTCCTCAAAAAATAAAATGAAACAAGAACAGCAACAATAAAAAACTCTTTAAAAAAATACAAGTCCATATTTCTTTTTTTAAAGTTTATTTTTTTTTTAGTAATCTCTATACCCAACATGGAGCTCAAACTCGTGACCCCGAGATCAAGAGTTGCGTGCTCTTCCGACAGAGCCAGCCAGATGCCCCCAAGTCCGTATTTCTTAATTAGGAGAAATAAAGGGAGTGGCCTGGCAGAATCCTTCTCTGTTCTTTTTAGTCTCCAAAACCAAAGCTCTTTTGGTTTCCTTTAATTGATTTAGAAATCAAAACAAAATACAAGCCAAAATAAGGCACAACCCCATATGAATCAACTGGGTCACCTATACAATATCTTGAGACTTGTGGGTGAAATAATTGTTTTTTCAACTGCACGATTTTTTTTTTTTTGAAATCTACAACTAACACTTATTCAGGGATGGCTATGAGCTGGCACTTACTTCTTGTTTAAATATTTCTTGTTTAAAAATAACATTTTTAGACAATTTAAAATGCAACTAAGATTTTACCTTTTGCTTCTAAGCAGTTTCAAACTTAGTTTTAAACATAGAGATCCAAAGTTTTTCTTTTTTCATGTGTCAAAGTGCCTGATTCTTTCTCTTTGTCCTTATTGCCAACTTCCTTGTTCATGGACTATTTTCATTTGTGTGCTCTACAGTTAGCAAACTCTGTGGCTGCTATAAATCCTCCCAGATGGGTCTCAGGGTGCACACATGAGATGAACAGCAGCAAAGGGAAGTTCATTTGTCTAGGATCCTTTCATTTCTCCCACCCTCTGAAAATTCTAATACCTCTCTGAAAATGTTCTCCAAGAAAACAGAAATTGAGCCACTGAGGGTGGAGTGGCTGGGTGGAGGACCCGGCATGGCTCAGAAGGAAGACCCTTTGCAGGAGACCCCATCCTCTCTGCGGCACTGTCAAGAAATTGCTCCTAGAGGCCTAAAAATTAAATGAAAGACAGGGGATGAGAAAAACAGGATCTCCTAAGCTTGGAGGACCCATCCCTTCTTCCAGTTTTTTTCTTTTCTTTTTCCTTTTTTAAGGTCTTGTTAAACTTAGAGACACAGCTTCTCGTTAAAGATGCCGAGAGTCTGAATCATAAAAGACATGTTAAACGTTCTATTAGAATTCAAACCTCCTTTTTTAATGCAAATCTAAATGCCATTTTATGGAACATCTATAATTATGAAAATGGGAAGACATTGCCTCGTGTGCAGGGAGAGTCTGTGAGTATGAATATTACATTAATGTGCCCACACCAGCTCACTGATCCTGCTGGCAGGAGCATAAAAAATGCTTGAGTGAAACTTTTATTTAGATGTTAAGACTCCAGGCCCCAGCGGGGTGACAGAGACAGTCCCTGTGAGTTGCCATCAGAGAGAGAGCTTGAATTGAATTACCCAGGGGGGAAGGAAGTAGTGATGAGCACTGCTTCGCTTATTTAATTTCATTTACTTTCAGTACATTATCAGCATGAGGCTTTTCTCTCCCCACCAACCGAAACCCAAGAATGCCACCACCAAGAAAACAAAGGCACAATGCTGCAGAGATATCTGAACTCTAAGTCATGAATTCTAGGAAACTAGGGTCAGCCCTGTCGCCACCTTCTCTCCCGAAGAGTCACACTTAGCTTGCTAAAATTGGGCAGGGAATGAGTTGCTGAATTTTCTCTCTTGGTCATTCACCAACAGATTCTGAAGAGTATCAGAGCTAGAAATGCGGTATTTTAATGTGCTGCGTTTTTAGCAAGATGTGTTATGTTGCTTTCTTATTAGAAGGAATTGGTACTGATGAACTCTCTTGCCTGGTTTCCCTTAAGGGCAGTGGACAAAATGGGATGATAGGCGAAGTTTGAAATGGCTATGGAAAAAAATTAGGAAATCAAATCAAATCAATCTCGATTTCTAGTGACTGTCTTCTGTGTACAAGGCACTGTGTGGTGAGTATAACAACAGGATTGTGCTCAGTGTTGACGCTGAGCTCAATTTCATTAACTCCATGATCTATCAGATAAATCCAGACAACCAAGATGGGAAGCCATTGTGGCAATCAAGCTGCTCTCTTCTTTCAGTGTCAGCTCAGTGTCCTACTGATCAAGAACCAGTGATCTTGAGGATGCACAATGTTAGCCATGGTCCTGGGGTGATGAGGCAGGAGGAGTCTTGTATGCCTGAATCCGCACCTCCTGGCAAGTGAACAGATCTGCAGAGCTACTTCATGCCTAATAGAAAGTTTGCAAATGCTTTGCAGGATGATAATAAAAATAGGAAGAAGCCACAAAGAATTGCATGAGTTGCTATTTTAAGTCAAAAACATTTATATTTAAGGATACTTTTTTTTTAAAAAATTGAGGCTTTTTGTCCATTACCTGAAAAAAAGATATCACCATCTTAGTGAAAAAATAGAAATGATTTAGATTTATTGGGAATAAATGGCCTTCTTGGATAAACCTAAGGATGTATCACATTGTATCAGCACAAAACAGAATTACATTCATGTCATAATCTCTCTCTACCATGGCACTTAACTAAATCTCCCAGAATAGCCCATATAAAGAAAAGATTCACTTAGCTGAAGGATGTGGGGCCATAAAGATAAGATCAGTAGAGAAGTGTTACCTAGAAGTGATGGCCACCCAACTTTCATGGCAGATGAAGATAAAAGAAATTCTCAGACAGCCTTCTCTCCTCATCCAGATGCCTTTAAACCCTTGTATTCCACCCATACCCAACTCTGCAGTAAAAAACGACAGAGTAGGATTCCATCTCTCAGATGGAATGAGAGATTCCAACTTTTTAAGTTGGAAGCCCTCCAACTTTTTAAGCTAAACATGACTCCTCAGTCAGCTATGCACAGCAACAACAATGGGGACCCTTTAGAGTGTGATACATTTCCATAAAGCAGTCAATAAAAAAGACACGGGAGCTTATGTGAGTCATGGCCTATTTAATCAGCTGTGTTGTAGCCCACTGAGAAAAGAGAATTGGAGAAATCACTTGGCAACACCACAGCAGAAGGTGAACGGCACAAGAGGCCACACAATTTCACTGCAAAAAGGCTGCAGCCCCTGCAGAACCAACCAGGTGCCCATGAACTTTCATTATAGGCAGCAGGCTTGGTTTCTTGCTAAACCAAGCTGAAATGAACATCAGTGATTTTTTAAAAAAAATCTTTGTTCAACCCCCACCTGTCCCATAAACTGTGGATGTTTCCCATCCTCCCTTTGCCTTTCAATTCAAGTTCTTTTCAATTGTTTGAAAAAGGGACCAAACTCCAGCCTAGAGACTGACAGCTACCAGTGGTGAATTTCAGGCAGGGTGAAGTTTACCAGGTTCCTCCATTGAAGTACCTGTGACAAGAGCCCCAGGGTGTTGGATGGATGAGGTTGGAGAAAATTTAGTATTTGAAGGCTGGGGATGGTGAAGTGCCATCTGCAATTCCAATTCACTCATAGTTTGCTGGCATATGTGCCTTTGTAGAAAAGTGACAAACACATTTCACAATGCCTCAAATGTACACAGGGGAAAGGTTTTGCAGGGAGGGTTGGAGAAGGTAGTATTCTCCTGTCTGGTGGTCGCTGGTCCTAAATCTCCTTTGTATTTGGCTCCTGTGGCCTTCCTTAATAAGCTCCTTACAGTTTTTCCTTAGCTTCTTGTGTTTCTGGGTGGTTTTTTGCTTTTTTCTCATTTTTCAGGACCCAGTCAGTGACAGTCAGTTTGAGGTGTCCAGCCTGCGGTGTTCAACTTCTGAGCATGATACTAACAGGGAAGTTGGTTTCAATGACTCTTCCTCTGTTAGTCTCTTGGGGATGGCTTATATAATTCTCTAACTTCTGTGGTTCTAACTCGATACCCACCTGAGTTTACACTTGTTCCTCCACTTTTCTGTCCTCTTGTTTCATTTATTAAGGAATTTACACCAACACATATAAGGTGAAAAATTCTAAATCATGAATAGTAA